TTTTCTGTTATCAATTTCAAGTAATTGTTAGAAAATGTCACTTAAATATGCCCTTGAAACATTACTCGGCTCGGCAACATACTTATACAWACATAYATATGTATAAATATATAAATGGAGCATATGTGTATATTAGGTATTATTGATCCTTCWTCAAATTATTTGAAGCACTTGTTATCAAATATGCCAATGATTTAGACACAGCTTTTTCTTGTTCGCGTACGTGTATGAACTGCAATCAAGGTTAAGACATATATACATACAGTATAGACGATTCCACTTTGGAGGAATTGGTGTTGAATCGTCAGCTGATTTTCTCTCTCTTTTCTTTCTCCGTTGTGACTATAAAGTTATCAAATGTACTTTATGTATGTACTTTAAAGTCCCTGTAGGGAAGTTGCTATGCATGTAGAAGATTTTTCATTCAAACTTATATTATATATTTAATACATATATAGTATATATTTTTCTTATTCATACAAGTAGAACTTTAGTTCTCTACTATTTCATATTACCATATGAAATTAGATCAGCAATGTTCTAATGAACATCATTCAAAACATAGTATATTTAAGTGTCTTATACTCCTTCGTTTCCTTGGCAAATGTTTTTGTTCAAGTATAGGTTGTCAAAAAGTCTTGCGGTATTTTCGCTAGTTGGCGCTGAGAGCGCGTAGTTCTAGTTTTATTCATCCATCGGGTCATGCCATACCTTTTTGGAAAGCTCACTTCACGCGCTTACACGTATTTGATTGATTGTCGTTTCTTTTAAGTCGTTCGTGAGTTATAGCTTCGCAAACATTGAGCAATATAAAGAGAAAATACGGCATATTTTACAGTACTACTACGATAAAGGCAAAAATGCATCTCAAGCCGCCAATAAAATTTGTGCAGTTTATGGACCCGATACAGTTTCCACTTCCACCGCACAACGATGGTTTTAACGTGTTCGTTCCGGTGAAGAGGTGGTTGAAGATGCGCCACGCTCCGGAAGGCCTGTCGTCGAAATAATTCATAAAAAAAATACCGCAAGACTTTTTTGACAACCTATTATATCTTTTTACTGGTTAACTTTTGTGACGATAATATATGCTCTTCTCAGTAATACACTTGGTGTTGCCATAAATTCTATTACGAAGTTTACAGTGCATATAGCGAGGAAAAATTCGCAGAAAAAACAGCCCCCTCGGCGGCACGCGGTCAACGGTCAGAAGGGCATTTTTTTTTTTTGAATGATTGATGAAAATTTATTTACTGATGAAGTAGATTTTAATAAGCAAGTGACAAAATAATATGAAAAGACTGCTATAGGCGCAAGTCTTTGTTTCCAGAGTCCAACGCGGTCACCATCTATAYGTTTTAATAGTTTGGTTGGAAGTTTTCTCTATGTAAAGGCGTTATAGTTCTCTAAAAAATTGTTGAAACTGGAGCACCAGTGTATCAGMAAGATGTTTTAGAAGGCATGCTACAGCTGTTTAGTAATATTCTCTTCACTGACTGCCAATACTTTCGGATCTGTCAACAATAATCTGCTACTGCACTTAAGGAAAACTAACCAGCACTGATTTATAAATAATATTAATGGTTTCACTTCTGTAGCTAATTGGTCATCTGCAAGTTCAGAATTGAATCCATTGAACTACAGTTGGTGGTCATATTTGGATAATAATGCATATTGAATAACTAACTAAAATTTGGAGAGTATCAGACAATCTTTGGTTCGAACAGCGTTGCCAATGCCAACTAAAACTATAAGTGCTACCATCGAGCCATGGCCAAATCGGCCTGAACTTGTAACCAAACTTATGGCAGGTCTTTGTAGTATATGGATTACATATTGCCAAAACCTAAGTATAAACAATTTTATTTTATGAAATCTGTYATTTTATGAAGGCATTTGAACATATCGAAGGTATTTTGAACAGCACCGAACTTTAAGTAATCCCTTTAGAAAAAATTCTAACTAAAATATATGTAAATTTTTCTTCAACCTGATTCGGATTTCTCAGCAGGGTTGCATTTGAACYACTTTAATAAGTATTTTATTTTCAAAAAACGGCATACACATATAAATATACTCACACATWYATACGTACATATGTATGTGTACACTTAAGTAATAATTTAGTAGTTTCGTTGGCTTTGAAAGAGCCGGTTCTTTTATTACTTTACTGAACTACAGATGATATTACTTTCGTTACATTTCCTAATTTATTGTAGTACTAACTTTATGCGCTGCTGCAGGCACATACACATACATACTTATTTTCTTACCCAAGTCTCAACAAGTTTTGTTGCTGTGATTTTGGTTTTGTTTATATTTTCTTTTCGTAACTGTTGATGATGATTATTTTCGGTCATGGTCAGTTGGTTGCCCCAAACACATACACACCCATACACGCACACAKCCGCCCATTTGCTACTTATATGTGGCTGGAGATATTTGCGCTGCAGTGTCTTGCGGTTGTTGACATTGTACGCGGATGAAAAGTATATTTGAGGCGATGGGTGAACGGAAAAGGGAAAAGCACAAAACACTTGAAAATAAATCGCATCAATTTAGTTGACTCCGATAGTAAAAGTGCCATAATGTAGACTTATTTGTGTGCCTTGGCCGGTTATGAGGAGAAATTTTCGGCAGTAAGTGGGTCCGAAAATAGAAAAGCGGATGAAAAAGTTAGAGAGGGTGTATATATATACATACATATGTATGTTAAAGTATATTTGTAAGCACATGAAGGTATATGTATACTGAATTCGCRTCTAATGGAAGTGTAAGAAGTCACTTATAGTATAGCAACTCTTAGATAATTTGTTGCAGAATTTTAAAATAAAAACAAGAAAAACGTTAACTTCGGCTGCACCAAAGATAATATACCCTTCACAGGTGCATTTCTTTAGAAACTATGTGTTTAGTTTATTTGGAAGCTATATGCTATAGTAATCCGATCTGAACAATTTTTTTTGGAGTAATCCATGTCAAATTTCGTGAAGATGCCACTTCAAACGAGAAAGTTTTCCATACAAGCCCTTGATTCCGATCGCTCGGCTTGTATGGCCGCTATATGCTGTAGTAAGCCCATCTGAATAATTTCTTCTGATATTGTATTATTTCTATGAACAATAACTCATACCAGCTTTTGTGAAAATTCATTGTGAAATGTGAAAGTTTCCCATACAGGAACTTGATTATGGTCATTAAGTTTGTATGGCATCTATATGCTATAGTTAACCGAACTGAACAATTTCTTCAGAGATTACATTGTTGCTTTATTTGAATAACCTGTGCCAAATTTTGTGAAGATACATTGTCAAATGTGAAAATTTTCCATACAGAACTTCATTCCGATCGTTCAGTTTGCATGGCAGCTATATGTTATGGCAGCTTCTTGAAGAGAAAATGACGTTTGCAAATCTTCAAAGTGATATTTTAAAAACTGAGGGACTAGTCGTATATATACATACACACGGACAGACAGACAGACAGACAGACGAACATGGCTAAATCGACTCAGCTCAACATACTGATCACGCTAACTTCTGGGTGTTTCAAATTTAGTGACAAACTTAATATACCCTGTTCAGGGTATAAAAATGTATACTCTGCTTTTTATAAAATCACTATTATGAGTTATTTTAATTAGAAAAATATTCTGCTGAGTAAAAGGCTAAACATTTTCAYAAAATTCTTACCTCTTCTCACAAAAAAACCAAAAGAAAATACGCAAAGCATTTCTCTTGCACTTAAATACATTTTTGTCAACCAAAAATGCTACCGCGGCAAAAAAATGAGGAAAATCCTTTAAAATTTCACCTAAGCCCTTGGCACAATGAAAAATTCATACTCATAATTTAATTAGTGAGCTTTACAAAAGACTAAATGAAAAATGAGTTACGGGAAATGAGCAAGAATGCAATGCTAGAAAGCAGAAAGAAACGACCAGCCGGCAAAAGCAGCGAAATTAATGTCGAAAGTATGGCAACCATGGCGAGCGGGTGGCGGCATGAGAACGCGGAACAACCTGCAGCCAGACACATTTAATGAATTTGGCCTCCTTTAGCCACGATTGTTGTGTGCACTTCGTTTCGTTTCGTTTGGCTATTACTCTTGTTGTTGTTGTTACGGCATTTTGTTGCCTGTAATGCTTTATAAGCAGCTGCATGTTGCACACMGATAAGCTTCCATGCTTCGTGACGCAACATTGCTGCAGGTGTTTGGTGCCCACGCCCACTGCCTCCCAATCATTTCTCTTTACACTTTTTTTGGGAATTTCTTTGGAGTCGTACGTCGGTAGTTTTGTATGGTTCTTGCTGCTAGGAAATGTTCCACGGAAATGAAAGTTTCTAACTTGGGAGTATTTGSACTGCAAGTCTTATTGTTAATACGTGAATTCATAGAGTTCAATAGACGTTATAGGTTACTGTGACCTATGTTGGTAAAGACTTTTATGGATTTAGTAGAGCTGGAGCGAAATTTCGAAGAATGGTCCTGAGACAACAGCATATTCAGCAASAGTACGACGAAGTGTATCAAAAATTTATTTTCCACCAACAATAAATGGCGTTTCTAATAGAACAGCAAATAACAGCGTAATCAGTATTTTATCTATGCTATGGAAAAAAAGTTCAGGGATAGTTTTATGAAGTTTKACACATTTATGACAGATTTGTGAATAGCCACTTAGAGTCTTCGTTGGAGTACACGTAACATAACAACAAAAATATGGATAATTATGTGGGAGAACGAAGGAAAAACCGGAATATCCTATTCCGTTCATATTCAATTTYCCACAAATTCTGCTATGACTAATATAATATTTGTATGCAAAAAAAAAAAAAAACAATATTTCATTTATTTTTCAAGCTTTGCTTAGCTTTATTGAAAACAACAGTTCATAACTATATACACACAACATGAATTAAATTATACATATTTACAATTAAATATTTACGAAATAAATTTCACACTTTGACAATCCTTTAAGATCGTAAAAAGTGAACTCATACTGGAACATTCTGGGCCGCAAGAAATGCGATTTGTTGTTCGTGGAAGGCAAGTTCGTGATAGACTTCTTGGTACTGCTGGTGAATGTGCTGTTGTTGCAGTACTACTAGTTGTTGCTGCAGAAAGTGCGTTTGTTGCAGGTGATACTTGTAMCAGGCATGCTGTTCCTGTAGCGCCTGAGTCAGCAATGTCCGATGAGCACTGTGTACCTCACGCGGCGTGGGGAAGTAAACAGCATTTGGCGCCTGGGGATGCGGTACACCATTCACCATCGTTCCAAGTACAGTCTCACTGCTGGCAGCAACAGGAGTTTGAAGTGTTTCTACTTCTGGGCTAATGGCCCAATAATGTCCTCGCTTTGGATCGCTCATAGGTCGTGGAATTTTCTGGAAACACGAGTTTGTGCTCAGTGTATGCCTTATCTGATTTTGCCAGCCTTGTTCATCCTTGCGGTAGTAGGGGAAGTTGTCACTGATCCAGTTCTGTATAGCACCCAAAGTCAGTTTACCTTCAGGACTGCTGCGTAATGCCATGGATACCAAAAGTTGAAAAAAAAAAAAGATAAAGTTGGGTCGGCTTCCACACATACGGATATCTTCGTTAGGTGACATGGATCTATCAGATAGTGGTGGTGTCAGCGCTGGATTAGTACCATCGTTGTTCGCTAACAAATTACGAATCGAGAAATTTGATTCCAAATGTTGGGTCATTGCGGATAACAATTTAGAAACTGTATAGTATGAAGTAAATTGAATTTTGCAGTGATAGTCTKTATGAAAGCCAACAGATGACTGATGACTTTTGCTTCAGAAATTTTCGTTTTTATACTCTTAGTCAGTATTTTGTTGCAAAGAACTTGACTATGTCAAACTTATGTCAGAAGTGCAGTCATAAAATCAAGGTCAGAAAAAGGTGTTATTGCCGCCATAACCAATGTAGAAGAATGTTGGAAATTCATATGTTCCTAAATCCAGACTGGTAAGAACCTTAAGTTTGAAAACAATAAGAGATCTTACAAAATATGCCTGAAAARAAGTTCAAAATGTAGAAATATCAGACGATTGAGTATTAAGTTAACTTTTTTAATAGTAGTGAACAATAGACAGTTAGAAAAATGAATAATTTGAGTTGAGGTTAACCCCAATCATTTCAGAATGTGGCATTGACAATATAACCAAGGTCACGATATAATTGTGGCTTTACGATCGCGTAAAAATCGAATGATCTCTTTTGCTCTTCGGCTGCATCCGGACGCAAATATCGATTAAAGAATATATCAGAAAACAAAAACGTTTAAGTCCAATGCAATAGAAAGAAGCTATTGCTGCGGATCAGGTACACAATGGATGCTAAGTGAAATTATTGAATTCTATAAAAGGTTCTATAATGTCTCTGCTCTCAGCCGATTATTGGTGAACTTCCCCACACCACAAGAAGTAAAAGAAGCCCATCAATCCATGAGGTCTTAACTTCTAGAGTAGCAGCCGGTCTTACAACTACAATAGATTCGACAGCAGTATGAAGAGGTGTAAAAGCTTCTACCAACAACAAATCGCCTTTTTAAAGGCGCAACAAACGTCAAGTTAAGTAGAATTTTATGTCGTTGGGGCATGTTGCACCAAGGTGATAACAAAACACGTAAATATTTGTAAATTTTTTCTCATGAATCAAAATATTTAGAGAWCTATATGAAGTTCGACGAACAAAAATCAAACTCTGTAAGTCACCCATCATTCCCGTCCTGCTTTATGGTGTARAGGCTTGCACGATTACAACAACTGATGAGTCGRCGTTGCGAGYTTTCGAGAGAAAAATTCTGCGAAAGATTTTGCGAATTGGCAMCGKCGAATATCGCTTTCGATGGAACGATGAGCTGTATGAGATTCGYATATCTATCGTATGACATTACAAYATGTAGTGCAGCAAATTAAAAGACAGCGGCTGCGCTGGGTAGGTCATGTTGTCCGAATGGACCAAAACACTCCAGCTCTGAAAGTATTCGACGCWGTACCCGCCGKKSGAAGCAGAGGAARAGGAAGACCTCCACTCCRTTGRAAGGACCAGGTGGAGAAGGAYCTGGCTACGCTTGGAATATCCAATKGGCGMCACGTTGCTAAAAGAAGAAACGACTGGCGCGCTGTTGTTAACTCGGCTATAATCACGTAAGCTGTATCCACGRCAGTAAAGAAGAAGWTATGAAGTCYGACGCATTGAGCTAAGCTTTCTAAGCACCATGTTAAAGTCTTAATTCAAATATATACAAAAAAAAAACAAAAATCAATATTTATTTGTCTTTTACTTCCTGCCTTCAGAACACAGCTACAAAACATATGTTCAATCTGTACTTAAATTACTAACTAATATTAGCTCTAACCMGTCATTATATAAATAACTACGCTTTTATTGAAAGTCAATTAATCAGAAATTCTGTACCGAGGTGGTCGGAAAATTATACCGCTAACATTGACATAAAGTTGGACGGCACGACAATCTATAAGGAAAAATTTCCTACCCGTCACTAAAGCCGTTCCGTGGCATTATCGGTCTGTATTGTTTTATAAGTTGAACTTTGATTAAGAAACGAACTGAAGTTCCTTATTAGTTTGAAAACGTGCAACCACTTCCGGATTGAATGACCAGTGCTGATAAATTTCTTAAAATTAGAAACTTTAGAGTAAAATGACCTTTTGGTGATGTTCTAAGATTGGTGTACTAAACTGGTGACCCTTCTCTTTAGCATTTCCTTCTATACCGAAATGATTCGATGGACAAGCAATAACTTTGTTTGATTTGGTRTGTATAATACACTTGAACAAAAGACATCATAAAAACTCTTGACCCAGAGAATTCCAGGTAAAACAGCTTCAAATACAAAAAAACAAAATCAAGGTAAACCATTATGAAATGGTAATAAAACCAGTAATTACAGTGGCCAGAAAAATCACCAGCCAAGGTCRTAATACACATTGTAGTTGCGTTGACTCTGTGAAACCAAAGGGACGATGTCGTCATTACCGACTTGTTTCGTAAACTCCACCGCAAGTGCGGGATCGTGAAGGACAAAACAATAGAATTGGACTACAGTCGCGTAACATAACAAACYACCAAAAGCCACTTAATTGATTTCTTAGCTGATGCCACAGGTAAAACATAAATTGAGTCTTTTAACATAAAAACCCCACATTAAGGTCTATTGTTCCTCASTTGCATCATTCTTTTGTTTTCAACGCGAGATAAAGGTTGGTTGACTTTTGCTAAGAGATGGGATTCGCTACAGTATGCAGGTAGAAGTTCACTCGCTCTAGCATTGGTAAGAACGACAGATCGAAGACCTGTTTTTAGGCGACAGAAAAAGCGCCTTCGGAAAAATCAATCGTTATTATTGCTGCTATCTTGTTAAAATTCTCTTTAAGTAGCTATAATCCAGTTGAAGGCTAGATCTTTTGCGAAACACATAAGCCGGCTAAGTGAACATATTTTGCGTAAGAGGAACTTTGCGACAGACGAAGTCATGTTATCTTGTCATTGTTCGCCTTTATCCTTTAATCTGCCACATGTGTTTGGGGTTTTTCCAACAATTATCCTTCGTGACCTTGATCTAGGAACATTGCCGTTAAAGTTAGTTTCAGGCAACGATAATTTTCTGCGAGCTAGTTATGTGCGAAAACGAAAATTTTTCCTTGAGGTTTGATAACACGCAATGACTAAATTATAAAACTGTTGCGCAATTCTTGACACCAATTTTATAATTCACTAGCTGACCCCGCAACCCCCTAGCAACACATTTTGAGATTCATTTTTATATTATAGACGCAACTTTCATAATTAGATAAAAACCGTCTACTAATAATAATAAATACAACAAAAAAAAAAAAAAATTAGTGCAATTGGAAAAAGAGATTAATTATATAAGTAATATGGATTTGCCTTAAACATCAAAACAAGCTTCAGCGGTTGCCTCTTCATTGTTGCTAAATTAATTTCCAGCAAGCATTATATCGAGGTCTGAGAATAGAAAACAGTCACTGGCGGCCTAATCTGGAGGGCACGAAGGATGTAGAAACAAACCGAGCATCTCAAAATACCGACTATTCTGTCTTTCGCGCTTTGGAGCTGGTTCATCATGATCATGACTTCGAAGTGATATGATTTCATAAGCTAAAAGTCATTTATCGATTGATTTTGTAAAGTTTAATAATATTGTTAATTATAAGAGTTGCTGCACAGAACATTCAATTATACTAAAGTACCTATAAATGTGATTCCTTTGTATTTGCGATTCCTTTGTATTTTGAGTTTAGAGATCTAATCTTCTCTTTGGATGACATGGTGTTACCTTTGGAATCTCATRTTTCTCGTTATGTTGGGATTTCCACCCAGTTTGAAGAACGTGCTATACGTATATCTGGGTCGACTCCCGGAATTTTATTCTTTAGACGACATTGAAACTTTCAGTGACATGCATCTATCAGATGTCGGTGGTGTCATTGCAGGKTTGGTATCGTCATTGGACACTAATAACTTATGAATCAAGATGTTTGAATCTAAATAACTTTTTACGGATCTAAGCGTCTACAAGTGGTGTTCTTTGCAAAATCCAGAAATCAGTTCAGTGACGCAAAGGGTTTGATAATTGAATTCCACTAGAGGTCACAAGTTTTCGGCCACATTAAATACCAAAGATATATTTTTTCTTTAGTCCAATATCTACCACAAAACCAGCTAATAAAATAATAGAATTTGAATAAAAGGAAATGGTAAAGAACATTTAACGCGATTTTTCTTACAGCTACACGATCGGTGGCAAGTCAAATTGTTTTCTTGGAGAATGGATATATATTGTCTGAGCTTTCAAATTTATTTTTGTTCTACAAGATGACGAACTCGGCATTAAAGCAGCGACTTTAGAAGGAGATTACATAAGTAAGCAGGTATAAAATTGACAGAGGCTTCATTTGAACGCCAAGTGGACTGGGGTCTCACCAACATTTCATAAAATGCTAACCCATTAATTATGAAAAAATTCCCTCTGGTCGCTTATAACAAATGTCATATAGTTTTTTCTACATAAACTTAAACATCTCAACCCAACACAATCTTCTAGATTTGCGATTGATCCTTGAAACTTAACTTTAGCATAAGATGCTTTTACACTTTTGATCTTAATGGGTTAACGGCGTTGCCTAGAAAATTAAATCTCACTGGATGGCGGCACTTCTGGTACTAGTTAGACCAAGTCAAACTCTTTCCAACACAGAAATGGCTAAGGATATAAAAARTTTTCAAAGCAAAAGCCATCAGCCATTTTTTGACTTACACACAGAATATCATTCGAGAACTTAACTCGAGAACTTAACTCGTACACACTCCACACTCCACCAGAAGTGCAGGAGTTCATCAGCGACATGCTATCAATACCATCTGCAGCAATCGCAACTTCTAGAGCAGCAACTGATAGTCCTGCGACAACAGCAGATTCAGCAGCAGTACGAGGAAGTGTATCAAAAATTTATTTTCCACCAAATACAAATTGCGTTTTTCCTCTTAGTAATTTATTGAACATCATTGGCTTCAGCTTTGGTGTTACGTGATGATATTTTCTGAAAGTGATAAGATTTTTGCTCGTATACTATATATTGGGTTACAAAGCGTTTGTGGACTATTCACTTCAAATTTTTTCCTTAGTAAAATCTAAATATTTAAAACTCTTGAAAGGAATGAAACATAGCTGAAATCTCATAATTTTGATAATGCGATTTTCAGTAGCGAATATTATGTTTTCATATGTTCTATACTTAACAGAATTGTAGGAGAAAAGGAAACACTTAAGTCTAGTAAATCCTGTTTGGCTTAATAAGTAGCTAAAACAATTGAGTTTATTAAAATATAAGTATTCAAATAAATATACAAATTGATTACATATTTGTTAATAACAGCTAAGAGTACTTACCTCGTGTACAGAAAAAATACAGATTTATTCGCCTGTATTTTTTGTATGTGCATTCGCAAAACAATAACAAGAATATGGACAACACTTCTGGGGCAACAATAGAAAACTGACCACGAAATTGTATTTCCAAAAGCTTCACTGACTCCGCTTATATTTGGCATAATAATTAAGGACAGTCCTACCAACTTAGCAAGGCACATTTTATGAAAATATCAATTCTTCTTCTTCTTCTTAATTGGCGTAGACACCGCTTACGCGATTATAGCCGAGTTAACAACAGCGCGCCAGTCGTTTCTTCTTTTCGCTACG